GAATTGCTTACCCTCAATAGTCCGAAATATATCTATTTATGTCTTTTTAAAGGGACAGATCGCGATTGGATCCTTAGAGAAATGTTCTTCTGGAATGAGTAGAAAGACCTCCAGTCAGAAGGGTGATGCTACTGTCGAGACCTAAAAGTGCGCGAAAAAGTAGCCAGCACTTGACCGCTGCGACCGTTGCTATTCTTATCAGTCGCGTATAAGAGCGTCTGCGATTTTTCGCGCACGGCATGCTCTATAGCGTTTTTCCTCTCCACTCAGGTCTCTACGAAATGTTTTCTATAGTGCTTTTTGCTTTTATTCACTCAAGTATTTTTGATCCTCCTTTCCTCCCCTTCCGAAAGAATACCCAGAATATAATAACCAATTCGATCGCGACCTTTGCCTTTGGAGGTTCGGTCCGGCGATTAGGCACACACCGATTTCGTCACTAATCATAGTAGACCCGCGGGCAAGCGATTATGTCGTGCTGCTTCTTTATAGTGTTTTGAAAAAAAAACGCATCAAAAGCCCAGAGGATCTCCAAATGCACACCAGGTTCGCGAACCCCGCCTTCCGATGTGACCTAGAGACCGGTGCCACCAGAAAGAGGCGACCTCGATTCTGGCAGTGCCCTTAATTGCAGCCGCGCAGATAGCGCGGAGCTGGCGGTCCGCGTAAGCGCGTCCAAGAGTGGTGAAGAAGAGGAGCAGACTACATATCTACGATCATTATTTATTTGTTTACGTCAACAGATGTGGTCAGGCTAATTTTTTTAGAAAGGTAGGCCTACCAAGTGCGTTCATTAAACTGCTTTTGCCAGTGTTTGGCCGACCAAGAATAACAGCTCGCAGTCCTCGATGGACGATTTCGGCTCCTTTGGCGCGACTTTCCAACCGTAATACCTCCTTCAGGATAGGATATAGACGCTCACTATGAAAAGAAAAACTATTATATATGCTTCCTCACAAATGGCTAATTTCGAATAAATGAAGTTGGGCCCTTTGCAATTTATTACTCTGTATTATAGCATTTCTGTAGCAGGGGCCAGAAAATACCATAGCGGGTTATAGTTACTAAGAGAAGCAAGTGATAAAAGGAATTACCGAGAAGGAAGCATAGGGGATGCTATGGAGAATTGTTTCGCGCGCTATGGATTTTGTGTTAAAGCGCTCGAAGGAGCTCTTCAGGAAAACTTTTCAGAAGCTTCTGGCCTGCATGTGTGCTTGGCCCACGCTTGAAGGAAATATTCCTGTACTAGCTTCCACTAGAGTTGTCGGAGAATTGTAATGAGCATT